AAGAGAGGCCTCTGCCAGGATTTTGGCCTTGGAAAAAAGGATCAATCTGATGGGAAGGGCATCACCACTGTAGGAAGGTAGGGAGGTGGTTTGTAGGATTGCCAACTGACCCGAAAGGTGAGGCCTGGATTGCTCTTGTGCTTTTAAAGAGGCAACGTGATATTTAGGAATCAGCAACCAGTGGCCTAATGTGAGTGACTTGTAACTCCGACACCTTGCCAATGCCTCCACATCCAGCTGTGCTTAAAGGCACATCCAATAAGGCCAATGGAAATGATGATGGTTTTGCATCATGGGGCAAGAGACTGGATATATTTTGATGCAAAGGAAGTGGGGCAGGGCTTCTGTAGCTTGCCTTCTTGCAAATAATAATACATTCTGAAAGGATTTGCTGTGCTAGTCTGTTGCAGCAAAAACAACAGAAAAGCCCTGTGTTGCCTCAAACAACCACATTTCTCATGCTACAATGTGCCATTAGGCTTTGTGGTGTCATGGGTCTCTCTCTCTCCCCCTCCCCATCACATGAATGTTATTCCAACAGCACATTAGCTCCGCTACTTCCTCTGGAATCCAATAACTTTAGAAAGGGAGCGAGAGATTCATCTTTCTTCCCCTTTTTGGTACAATAAGTTGCAGCTGCTGTCACTTCCTTTTCTACACTGTCATGAAAGGTATAGGAATCCTGCTGCTTTCTTTTGCTTCTAGGACTAATGTGCTGGCATTTGACACTCTCCCTTATATAGCCATACCTCTCGCAGCTGATTTCTAGGCAGGCAACAGCGTGCACCTTTGTACTGTGCATGGCTTCACCACCTGGTTTCTGTACATGGTGGTGCTCTTAGGGACCCAAAATCAGGCCTGGCTGTTCTCATCTGGTCAGCTGGCATTCCGGCTCTAGTGCCAGGGTCTGACCTACGACCCTGATAACGGCTTTAGACCATGTTTTCATATTGTAAGCAACAACTGAGGATTTGTTTCAGCCATGCAGAGGCTTACAGAATCGTGTAAGACATTCTGTGCTCTTTGGAGCAAGGGTGGGAAGAGAGAGAGCAATGGTGAGAGCCAGTTTGGTGTAGTGGTTAAGTGCGCGGACTCTAATCTGGGAGAACCGGGTTTGATTCCCCACTCCTCCACTTGCACCTGGCTGGATGACCTTGGGCAAGCCATAGTTCTGGCACAGCTGTTCTTGAAAAAGAGCAGTTTCTGTCAGAGCTCTCTCAGCCCCACCGACCTCGCAGGGTGTCTGTTGTGGGGAGGGGAAGGGAAGGGAAAGGAGTTTGTAAGCCACTCTGAGATTCCCTTGGGTAGTGGAGGGCGGGGTATAAATCCAATCTCCTCCTCCGTCATCATCTTCTTCTATGGTTTTAAAATAAAATACATTGAGGGTTGGAAAGGAATACACTCACTCAGTCTTTTATATAACTATTGTATTAACTCTCATGTATTACTACTTTGACAATAGGGAATTATCCTTACTTTAAACAATTGTATTAACGATCTCTTGGTACTCGTAGTTTTAGTTTGTTCCCATCCCCAAACCCTATAGGTGTGTGTGTAGTTTAGAAAAGCAATTAAAAAATGTTTGTTTGTTTTTTTTAAAAAAAAGAAGGTTGGAAAGGAATGTTCCCCAGGGCCAAACTGCATCAAAGCTCTGCTTGTTTTTTTTTAACTTTGGCAGGGTTTGGGGCAATGTTCCATCTAAGCTGTGGAGTCTTGTGAGCAAAAATTCTAATTGTGAGCTCCTGGCATTAAAGTTGTGAGCGAGCGATTTGGCTACTGCATAAATTAGGTTTGCTCTGGAGCCATCCTCCCTGAGCTAAGACAAAAATCTGTGAGCTGAAGGCTAAAAAACTGTGAGCTAACTCACACTAACTCAGCGTAGAGGGAACACTGGTTTGGGGTATGTGTCGGTGGCCTCTGATTTTGTATTGTGGCCCTGGAGTGTATAGCTCGCTCAGTGCTGTGTCAGTGCGGATGGTGGGCTTGTGGTGTGCAGAGAATTGTATTGAATTTCCTTGTCTTGGTTTAGTGCTCTGATTCTTCACCACTGTGAGGACCGTTAGGAGGGTCACAGTCCTTTCGGGGATCAGTGGGATCAACTAGGAGGCTTTCTCTTGTCTCTAGTTGTGACGATCTGGTGAGCATGCTATGCTACCCAGTAGCTGAAAGATGCATGTTGGTGATAAGAAAGAGCTGTGACCGGAGGAGTCCCAGGATCCAATTTATTCTTAGCCACAAAGTCACTAGGGAGCCTTTGGCAAGCCCCTGCCTCTCAACCTTAGTCCATCTGCAGCAATAATAATAATACACCATTGTTGCATGTATTGCTAAGATCATGTATGGGAAGAATTTTGAATCCTTAAGGAAAGTGTTCCATTTAAAAAATGCAGTGATTGGAAAACCTTCTGGGTTCCAAAACCCAAGTGCCCAGCTTGCCAGTAGACCTGGCGGCTGAACCCAGGTTGCAAGACATACAAAGCCACTGGGCATGACTAAACGCCTGTCATTCAAAGCCTCAGTTCTGCAGAAAGGGCACCTCAGCTTCCAAAGGAAGGTTTTGCAAGGAGTTGAGTAACAGCATGCTATTAACGCCCCTGCTTGCACAGTAAGCGAACTTGCATTCTGGTCTGCTGGGAGGCTGACACGATCCTGCCCACCTATCTCTCCTGCACCAAAGAATGTTTTCCCCCTTTAGACATCGATTGCCATGGCAACTGCTGCAACAGATCCCTCGCTAGCAGATTAAATGTCGACCTTCTCTGAGTGAATTACAGCGCATGCATAGCGCTACGGCAGAGATAATTGGTTTTTAATTTTTATTAAAGTGTGTGTAAATGCTGTCAAAGGAGACGTGATTGAGGGTCTGGCGAGAGAAAACCAGAAGAGCATCAGAGCAGGCCAGAAAGGAGGCGCATTATCTGTGGCTGGCAGGTGTATTTGAGCCGCACAAGGGGGAATGTAGCTGGAATGGCCAAGTGCTTGCATTGCATGCTGCAAGTCCCATGTTCAATCCGTAATAACTCCGGCTAAAGGATCTTTGTCTGGAGGATGGAGAAAGATCTCCCTCTGCCTGAGAGATCTTGGAGAGCTGCTACTGGGCTAAATGGGCCGGCGGGCAACTCAGCAGCCAGCAGCTTTGTCTGTTGCACGTGAATTTGGGCCATAGTGCTCTGTTCACATCCAGATGAAACTGTTGCAGTGAGCTCCACATGAGCTGCTTTCCAAGGCTGCTGTTCACTTCAGTGAGTGCAGAATGTAGCAGAGAGGCTACGGATGGATACGCAAGGACTAGAGATGTGAAGGCCCTGAAAAAAACCGGAAAAATTCAGGGGGGGACCGTTTTTTCCCCCGTTTTTTTCCTGAAGCCTTTTTTTTTTTTTCCGAAAAATTGGAAAAATTGAAAAAAGAAAAGAAAAGAAATTGATTATGGAACGTTTTACTTTAACAGGATGAATAAAATATTTTAAGACAAGGTGTTTGAATATTTTCCAAATCATTTCTAAAATATATATATATGGTATCAGAGTGATCTAATTTCTGTGCACTGAGGACAAGCAAGTCCTAGGTTACAAACTGAACTCTCCAATGCAAGAACAAGATGCATTTCTTCCTTTAGGAGGTGCGGTTGTCAGAAGAAAATAAAAAAGTTTCAGTTTTGTTTTTGCATGTGGAGGGGTATTTTGTTTGTAATAATTGTTTGGATACACTACATTTTTTAAATGCTAGTTGTGATAATTTCATGCCAAGTAAAACTGTCCATAGTCATATTTTATGTTCCTAAAGTAACAGAATGACTTTCAATCTAGAAAAGACAAAAGAAATGCTAATGTAGCATTTTTTTCAATTTTTCCGAAAATTTCCGTTTTTTTCCGAGCTTCAAAATTTCCGGAAATTTTACATCTCTAGCAAGGACCCATGTTGCAGGTTTAAAGGAGCCATGCCAACGACTGCTTCATTTACAAGTACAACTCCGAGTGCTGGGGCTTGTTTTTAGAGTACCAGCTTTCTTACTGGCCACTCGCCCCATATATCAGCCTCCACAAATGGTAATAACTGTGTCTCAGACCCCGTTTACTGAACTGAGGCCAGGTGGCCGCAAGAGGCGGGGCCTGTTCTGTGATGGCACCTTGCTTGTGAAATTTTCTGCCACTATATGTCGTTCACCCTGACCTGGATAGCCCAAGCTACAAAAAAAGCCCTGAACAGAACAAAGTTAGAGTCCAGTGGCTCCTTTAAAACCAACAAAGTTTTATTCGGGGTGTGAGCTTTGGTGTCAGACAATGAAATGGAATTAGAAATAGCAGTCATACTTATAGAGGGTGGGCAGTAAATTAGCATGCAAACTAGTGAATACATTTTTAACGGATTAAACAAACAACAAGCTTGGTTTACGGTTATCATCTGTTTGGGTTCAACTGGGGGGTGGGGGTGGAAT